TACGGAGATACTTATTTTGCCGGCGGTCTTTTCACTTTTATCTCACGCTATCGTGAAGGAGTTGCTCAAACTAACAAACACCCCCATAATGAGTTAGATAGAATACTTAGCCAGCTGATTGCTAAGCGTATGTATGTGTGTGTGTGTGTGTGTGTATTTTATGACACTATTTTGTAATGAGCACTCTAAATAATTTGCCATGATCTTCGGCGCATAACCGACTGAATTGACAGCCACGCCCACAAATCGCAAACACATAAAGCAACACCACGATCACCTCCGTAACCAATGTGTGATGGTAGTGATGTGGCTCTAGCCGTGGCGGCGTCGTCAGCATCGTCGGCGATGTCGGCGATGTCGGCGTTGGTGGTAAGAAGCTAACACATGGGAACACCCGCACGCTTCATGCGCGATTTGAGCGCGGCACTTTTGAGAGTCAACCAACCAGTTACTCGTTTGCTGTGCTGTTTGCTCGCGCCCGCCGCTTGTTACGCTAACTATCCCATTGTCAGAGGCAAGTGGACGGACAAACGTGAGATCGTGTTATGGAAAAAAAATTAAGAAAGCTATAAAAATAAATAGTGTTGTCGACTAATCTTCTAAGTCTGCATGTGCATATGTCAGTTTATTTATGAATCTGGTTCGCGTGTATGAGATTTTTTTCTGTGCCTTTTGGAGCTACACTTTGTGTAGCACACTGTAAGTGGATACTCAATTAAATTTAACGTCTCGGTTAGTGGATATTTAACATTGGTTTATTTGGTTTATTTCACTCTTTTGCATATGACATGTGACAGCTCTTTGACATTTGTCGCTATTATGTAATGAAACCGTTGTAACAGCTGTCAACTACTGTGCGTAGATTGGATTTTATGACATGGTGATTTGAAGTGTAATGGAACTGTCTCAATGAATTTAGATCAAAAAAAGGTAAATGGCGATGGCTAGCAATTGGTTCAGTGTGAGAAAAATGTGAGATAAATTTCGAAAAATAGTGTTGAGTCCGACATTTTGCTAAGAGTATATTCACTGATTTTCAAGTCGGCGCGTCATTTTCATCACTGAAAGTTACAAGTCATAGCCTTTAATCTGTCAAACAATTGAAAGTTTGGACTCAAACGTGATAAATCCCTAAAGCTTTACTTAGGCTTCGATTTATTTCTCTGTTTGAATTGGCATGGTAGTTAGATTGCTGTAGACCAAGAGATCTTTTGTGCCCTCAACCATTCATAGTACCTCATCCAACCCTAGAAATTCCAGAAATTTTAAGAGATCTACAGGGGTTAGCGATTGTATGAATTTAACACTTGGTTAGTGTTGGCCTAGGTATCTCTCCCGTCTCCTTGCAATCGTATCGAACTAGTGAATCAGGTGTAAAGGAGTCTTCTCGATCGATTCACAGAAACGAAATAGGTCGTTTGGCCTGATCCCTAATTTGTGCAGGTAACCTCTAAGTACACTGTGCACGTTGCAGGTTTATTATTTCCCTGTAGCTTGTAAGGTGGTAACCTCCCAATAAGTATTTAGCCTGGCGTAGACCTACGATGTTACGCCAGTATCGTTCTCTGAGTCTTTTCTTCTCCTTCATGAGCTCAGTCCCAATAGAATACGAGGCGGCCGCCGTTCTGGCTAGATGATCAATTAGTTGGATAATATTGTGTTTCGCCAGGACGTTAAGCCTATCCATAGACTCACGAGCCAAGGGGAACTTGACCACAAATGATGTGAGGGCCTTGAATGCAGCCTGACTATCAATTGGCTTTAATCTGCCATAAATATGAGCAATACTTAGTCGGTAAAAAGATCTTTCAGTTTGCTACCCGGTGTCTCCTGAGAAGAACTCTCCATAAACCTAAAATATATGCTACCAGATCCTTGTGGCGTTTTCCACGCAGCGGTAGCCGCAATACAAGAGGCCTAGGATCTACTCCGATAGCCAAAACTCTTGGATCCTGGTTGTTAGTTCGAGAACGATGAAGAATCATTTTGCTTCCGTATCGACCACATCGAATTATACGCTGTTAGGCTCAATTGAATTCCGGATCATGTGACAAGACAGGGAACTCTACAGGAAGTGCACCCGGAAAGCCTGGGTGCTCCCCTGATCTAGGAAGATGGGCATTTAGTCAACTCAGCGAGCGATGGGCAAAGACCTTGGTGTGCAAAATGGCTGAATATTTTTGGCCAAGGCTTAAACTTGAGTCACAATGAANGAATATATGCTAAAAAGCTAGCTACGTACCGAATTTTAAGCAAGTCGGACTGTAAATACGATTTTTTCGAATAGATCAGTCCCTGGTCCATTTCTCGGGAAAAATTGACCATATATCTTAATATATGCTAAAAAGCTACTTACGTACTAAATTTTAAGAAAATCGGACTATAATAAGATTTTTTCGAATAGACCGGTCCCTGGTCCACCTACCCGAAAAAAATAAAATTTTTTAGCCTAAAACATGGTGTTTACCAAAAGCTATTTGTATACAAAATTTCATGGAAATCGGACCAGCCGTTCGCGAGATTACCTGTTACAAAAAAAAGGGACTTCTCTTTATATAATTAGTATATATTAGTATAGATAAGGAAGCCAATGCGACAAAAAAAATTCTAAAAAATTAACGGTAATTGGTAGCCACTTGACATTTGCACATTATCAGACTAAAATTACAGTGGCTAAAAAACTGTGTACTCGAAAAAATTCTAACACTTCCGAGAAAAAAGTTTGAAACTTAGGTGAAAATTTGTTGCACTTTTTTGAAGTTTTCTACAAATTGTTAAACTTGGGTTTATATGGGGTTTGTTAGAGAAAGAACTGTATTTTGATTGAAAATTCTTAAAAATAAATAAATAAACATAAGTGGCACACAATATCACTTCGAAATGGCGTGCTATAGATATGACCGATACTGTATATTAATATTTCTATCAGTATTAGCAATGATTCGTGATTTATAGATTGTACAAAGATTACCGATTAAATAGCAACCCTTAAGAGAGGTGCGAAACAAACTGGCGAAGGTTTTCTTTGTATTTTATAAGGGACATTTTTATTATTTTATATTCTCTGTTCAAAAATTTACCTGTGAATAACCCAGAGCTGATTTAAAGGACAGATTAAGAAATAAAGGACAAAATGCGTCCTTTATTTTGAAAAAAATTATAAAGGACAGAGGGTTAAAATAAAGGACGGATGGTCACCGTGCATATGCCATGCGAGAGAGAGAGATAATTTTTGCGTCGCTGATCAGGATAAATTTTGGGCTTCTGCGAAAAAATAGACCGTAGATTTTGACTTCCACGGCAAGATTATTCTTTTCACGGATAAACAACGGATAATTTACGGCAAATTATCAAATAGTTAGTTTGGGTTTAGCTGGTTTCCCTAATTGGTTCCACGGAAGTTAGCAGGGCACGCGATATTTTTTAAAATGTGTCCGCGGCAAGATAATTCTTTTCACGGATAAACAACGGATAATTTACGGCAAATTATCAGACAGTTAGTTTGGGTTTAGCTGGTTTCCTTAATTGGTTTTCAGAAGTGGAAGTTAGCAGGGCACGCGATATTTTTTAAAATATGTCCGCGGCAAAATTATTCTTCTCACGGATAATTTACGGATAATTAACGGCAAATTATCCGATAGGAATTTTCGCTTTGAGAAAAAGTTGTCCTGCCAAGTTCAGAGAGGTCTTTAAAGTGGTAAGAGGGAGCTTTTATTCTATGCCCGTTTTTTATATTGAAAAAGAAAAACTTAGAAAAGCCTCTACATGAGTGAATTTTCAGTAGTCACAGGGAGCTTTTATCAAATCAGCGCTTTTATACTGTGAATAACTTAGAAAAACTTAGCATTGAGGTCGCCAACTCTATTTTATATAGATGAGCACATATGTAAAAATTAATTTGTAATGAACTCTCTAACCAAATCGTTCAACCAAAGCTCCCACACTCGTGAGTATGCAGTTTGTTACACACCATGCCAGCCTCCTTTTGTCATGGACGCCAAGTTAACAAGCGCTAATTAGTTGAACGATATGCCTCCTCGAACTGCTGAGGTTAAGTATTAGACAATTGGCGGCTAGTTCTTTTGACAGATTTGTGACGCTTTTTGACGTTCGAATTAAAATGCAATGGAGCATTAATTGTCTGCACACCCAGTCACTGAGGCGGGCGAAGGCTGCTGCCACGCGGCTAGTTGAGCAGCAATTTTTTCCCACTGGTTTTTTGGCATTTTTAATTTGCTTAGCCATGCAGCCGCGATGCTGAGGATCGCTGCGGTTGGTTGAAGGCACCGCGCAGAGGCGTGGATACGAATGCTTGTAGGGAGAAAGGCAGTCATATCTATTCGTATTAAAATAAATTTTTTACCGAAAAGAATCATAAGCAGGTTCATATTTTTTAGATTTAGTGCGGTTGTATGCTTTTATTTGTTCGCCGGCTCAATTTAAACAAATTCTTTGGTGGCCATATCGTTATTCTACTTGATTTGTCGCAACTTAATTTGCCCCAACTGAATTATTCTCTCTCTATTCTGCTTCCTTCATTAACAAAATTTATTTGAGACTTTACATACTTATGTTCGGGTGTGAAACTCTATTAGTTTTTACGAGGTGTGAATAATTTTGGGTTATATTTCAATGAATCAGCGCTGCGATTGGCTGCGGGAGCGCTGAATATGAATGCTTCCCAAGAAGGGAATGGTATGGACAGATGTGAGACGTAAAAGGAATTCAACAGCACCGATCATGCAGCGATCTTCAAAGAAAAGGTCGAAGATCGTCACCTGTGCTTAGGCGTAATACGTTCCAGCTTCCTTTTTGCTTTACTTTCTCATTCCCCAAACTATTAAAGATACACATCTGTTGTCAAGAGCGTATACAAGTTACACTTAAAGGCGTCACACAGAAATATAGAGAAAATATATATTTAAAAATGTTTCTATTTCCCTTCAGTTTTTAAAATGCGACATCAAAATATTAACCTCAACCTTCCAATTTCCTTTCAGATCGCAACTCCGACATCAGCGATACCGAATCGGAGCCTGGCATACCGCTGAAACGTAAGCAGCGGCGCTCGCGCACCACCTTCACCGCAGAGCAATTGGAGGCGCTCGAGCGCGCCTTCACGCGCACTCAGTATCCGGATGTCTATACACGCGAAGAACTCGCACAGACCACTGGTCTTACGGAGGCGCGCATACAAGTGTGGTTCTCGAATCGGCGCGCCCGTTTACGCAAACATTCTGGCGGTTCCAGCACCGGGCTCTCGCCCATGAATGGCGGCGGTAGTGGCGTAGCTGGAATGCCAGGTAGCGCGATGGGAGCAGGTGCCGCTGCAACAGCGCCGCTAGGCTTTGGTTCATTGGCCGCAGTGGGCTCAATGGCTGGCTATAGTCCGGCTGCTGCGAGTACGGCCAGCGCTGGCATGAATGACAATCACGCTGCGCATGCAGCTGCAGCCGCTGCAGCAGCGGCCGCACATCATCCACATCATCATGCGCAGATGGGAAGCTACGATTTGGTGGCGCAGTCGGCGCAACACGGCTTTGCTAGTAGTTTTCAGCATGGACACTTTACCGGGCAGAATTACTATCATCAAGGTGAGTGTGGCGCAGCAGTTTTTAATTTCCAATTGTATGTTTTTATATGTATGTTTACATACATTTTCGCTCTCTCTTTTTAGATTACTCCAAGCTCACAATCGATGACTTCTCTAAGCTGACTCCAGAAAGCGTTTCGAAAATTTCTCCATCCCTCTCACATCTCACCGGCGAAAACTATTCAAAGCTTGAGCCTACCACGAATTGGTCGCAGGCCGCTTACCATCTCAATCAATCGGCGGCAGTAGCGGCCAATTATAATGCCGCCGCTCATCATGCTCATGCCGCTGTGGCACAACATACGCTGAACGATTATGTGGCGGCTGGTGCAGTTGCGGCGGCACACAATAATCAATTGAATAGTGCAGCAGCGGCTGCCGCGGCGGCTTACAATCATCCGCTACCGGCGCAAGGTCAAGCGAAGTACTGGCAATAATTTTGGTGCTGTGGTATAGTATTTGAATAAGTATCTAACAAGTACAGGTAGTTAGAATACCAAGGCAGTGAGAAAAAATTAAAATAAAATAANTTTGTAGGCTTTTATATGTATGTTTATATAATTTTTCGCCCTCTCTTTTTAGATTACTCCAAGCTCACAATCGACGACTTCTCTAAGCTGACTCCGGAAAGCGTTTCGAAAATTTCTCCATCCCTCTCACATCTCACCGGCGAAAACTATTCAAAGCTTGAGCCTACCACCAATTGGTCGCAGGCCGCTTACCATCTCAATCAATCGGCGGCAGTAGCGGCCAATTATAATGCCGCCGCTCATCATGCTCATGCCGCTGCGGCACAACATACGCTGAACGATTATGTGGCGGCTGGTGCAGTTGCGGCGGCACACAATAATCAATTGAATAGTGCAGCAGCGGCTGCCGCGGCGGCTTACAATCATCCGCTACCGGCGCAAGGTCAAGCGAAGTACTGGCAATAATTTTGGTGTTGTGGTATAGTATTTGAATAAGTATCTAACAAGTACAGGTAGATAGAATACCAGGGCAGTGAGAAAAAATTAAAATAAAATAAAAAATTTAAATAAAATGGCGGGAGGTAATAAAAAGTTCTCTCTCTCTCTCTCTCAATCGCGAAGCAGGTGTACAAATGCTATTATTAGCCCCTTCAACGAGAGAAAAAAAGCTATGAAAGCTGTCTTCTGAAACATTTGAGACTCCGAGGGGTAACTAGAAAACTGTACCTTAACATTTTTCCGACTTTTCTGAAAGGTATGCATTCAGCCGTCTGTAACTTCAATTGGTACAACTTTAGATACATTCTACCACCACTGAGTTAGACCAAGGTTGGATTCCTGGTACCCGCTCTTATATAATCCATTTGCCGTTCGATCGGGGCGTCAAACTGTAGGTACAAATCAAAATAGAAGCTTGGCCTTGCATTAAGCAAATCTTACAATATTTCATAAATTTCATATAAGCTTAAAGCTTTGAAGCACACTTAGTCCTGCGGCCTTTTGTGCAGGATTATTTGCTAACAGCAATGTTGGTTAGAGAGAGCTTTCGTTTCGTCCAAGCCGTATATAAGTTGTACAGAGAGCTTTCAAAAGCTTGAAATTGAGGCCAATGAAGTGGTCGAAAATATTTTAAAACGTTCATTTGAGTATGAGTGACAATCAGAGAGAGATTTTACACTGTACATGCCCATTTAAAGTTCATAAAAAGCTTTTACCGCAGGGTATACTTTCGTCATGACCGATTCACTTACAATGAATGCAAGTACGAAAGTGGGGCTTTATAGTTTTTTTCTAAAGCTTTAATAAATACAGATTAGAAACTCAGAACTCATCGTACACTGATTACTTACACTTGAGTTTAAGCTTTTAAACCAGAGTTGGCCACTTAATGGGCGTCCTCTTTGAGCTTTTTAAAGCTTTCGGGCAATTGAAGCTTAATCTCAATATTTGTATGTATTTAAAATACAGCCGCCTTGAAGATTAATTTAAAGTCTCAAAACTTTTGGCGAANTCCATAGTCCGATTCAAAAAAATTTCATATAAGCTTAAAGCTTTGAAGCACACTTAGTCCTGCGGCCTTTTGTGCAGGATTATTTGCTAACAGCAATGTTGGTTAGAGAGAGCTTTCGTTTCGTCCAAGCCGTATATAAGTTGTACAGAGAGCTTTCAAAAGCTTGAAATTGAGGCCAATGAAGTGGTCGACAATATTTTAAAACGTTCATTTGAGTATGAGTGACAATCAGAGAGAGATTTTACACTGTGCATGCCCATTTAAAGTTCATAAAAAGCTTTTACCGCAGGGTATACTCTCGTCATGACCGATTCACGTACAATGAATGCAAGTACGAAAGTGGGGCTTTATAGTTTTTTTCTAAAGCCTTAATAAATACAGATTAGAAACTCAGAACTCATCGTACACTGATTACTTACACTTGAGTTTAAGCTTTTAAACCAGAGTTGGCCACTTAATGGCGTCCTCTTTGAGCTTTTTAAAGCTTTCGGGCAATTGAAGCTTACGCTCAATATTTGTATGTATTTAAAATACAGCCGCCTTGAAGATTAATTTAAAGTCTCAAAACTTTTGGCGAATTACCCCAAACTGTTCGATGTAACGTTTAAAATTTCTTGAAAGGTATTTTCTGAGCTGACCAACCCTCCGATCTGAAGTATGCTCATACTCATATCAAAGCTATTAATATTCAGACTCTCCTCTTACTTACATATAGCTAAATGGATACAAAAAGCTTTCGTAGGAGCTTTAGCAAAAATCAATCTAAAATTTTAAGTAATGTTCCTTTTATTTGAAAAATAACCCGGGTATAACACTGGAAAAAAGTGATAAACTGGAGCTTTATTAAAAAAATTTTTTGGGAAGTTTTTCTAGGGAACTTTTCCTATTACTGATTTTTTGCGGTTAGGCTAGAAGTTCAGCTTTCATCTCTTACCAGCTGATTAAATTGAATATTCAGCGATCGAAGGTGTATAACAGTGACGCTGGGAGAGAGTTTTTACCCTGCGCACATCCATACAAAACTTATAGAACACTTAAAAAGCTGCTTAAGAACTTTGCACCAGTGATGAGCAGAGAGATTTATGCAAAGCTTTTTTTACATTCCTGTACATTTATGTGAGCCTAGCACACATACTAGCTACACTGTTGTAAAGTATTGGAACTGCCAGGCTGAACTGCTAAATGAGCTTATTTATTCAAAGTGGTGAACTTTGAGGTTTTTACAGTCTCTACTACGAGAGAAAGCTCGTTGGTAAAAAGAACATGGCACATGTATGTGTATCAGCGATGCGCACAGAGAGCCTTTACTCTGCACGCGCCTATACAAAATGTATAGAAAGCTTAAAAGAGCTTTGCCCGCGGGCAAGGAAGTGCTGTACATTTATTCTGTACAAGGCGATTGAGAGAATATGAGAGTAAAGTGATTTGCTGATGCTAATGCTGCATGCTTCAGGGCGCTAAAGAAACTGATAATTGTAGACAATGTGCGAAAATTTGAATGAAGTATTTGGCTTTACGTTAAAAAATAATTCCTCCACCAAAAAGGCCAAAAAATTTATAAATAAATATAGTAACATTAAAATATGTACCTACATACAATTTTTGCAAGCCTCTTAAAAGTTTTTTTAACTTATCTTACTCAAATAAAAAGTATTTCATGATCATTGCGACGCCAGCATAAACAGAAGCTATTCATCATTAAAAAAGTAGAAAAATAAAAATGAAAATAATAAATATCAATTCAAAAAAATGTACTGTACAGTAGACGTTATATGTTGTAAGTATGTAAGTAATATGACCTTACATAAATGTAATATAAAATTGTTTATAAGCCACTGTGGTATTTATGGAGTCTTACTGACTTGAAATTTGATTAACTTCTGAGCAGCTCCAAATCCTTATACATATATGGTAATACACATAGACGCATACATAAGTACATATGTATGTATGTGCCTGTAGTTATATGGCTGCAATAAGTGAGCACATACATTTTTATGTTGCACATTGCGCCTTTAATTTATAAATCAACTGTAATTAAAATTCAATTAACAATTTATTGTTTAAGTCAAGTACATTTTTTATTGCCAAGGCCAAGCAGGCAAATATGTAGAGCCAACCGCCAACCAATATTTGCTGATGATGATGCATACAAACATACATAAATAATTAAAATATTTGTTGGCGAAGTTGGTGCGGCCCTGTGCCTGGCTGTACCTAATTATTTGCCACCTGAGCCTTGTAATTGCATTCATATACATAATTCCTACACATACACATACAAACACATTTAAACATACATAAAAGTACATCTATAAATTATTTTTAAGTAAATAAGTAGCTATAAACACCCATATGTACATACATACCTAACTACATACATACATACAACAAACAACTAAATGCATTTAATGTAAGAAAGTTAATAAAGCAGTAAAGTTTTTGCAAATGCTGTAAAAAATGACGATTCGTTTACTGATTATTTAGATATTTTTGCCATAAACGTTTGAATAATTCAAGGACGTGAAGGTGCTTAAATTTTTAAATGTCGAAACTTGTGTGACTGGGCACATCTGTAGATTGTACCCATACATATGAACATAGTTACATGTATGTACATTAGACCGGGTCTATTTTTGCGAAAAAACTGCGACATCCACGTTCGGCCAAAAAAAAATTAATTTTTTCTAAACTGCCTTGCAAAAATACCTACTTTGAGACTCAGTGCGTGCTGCGAACTTTTTTTCTGCTACGGTCTGATATACATACATACATACATACATACAGTATCGGTACGGTGACCATAAATATGGATTCAAAATGACGGACAATTTTTCAAAAATATGCCTACATATATTTACGTAGTATAAAAATATCAAAAGAGTATTTATGATTCTAAATTCTTAATACATTTTAAACTTTAAAAATGAATCACGTTTTCTTCATTGATATTAATCTTTTTTTACATGAATATTTATAGTAAAACATATTATAATTACAATAGCTTACACGAAAAGTGAAAATCTTTAAAAGATTATTTTATAGGCAAATTTTGAGTCGTTCAAAACGAAAACAATACCCTTCCTTTTTTTTTTTGTTTTTTTTGGTACTTTTCGCAGTTATTTGTCAAAAATCTACGTCATGAATCGACGTAAACGACGAGTTACAAAGTGCCCTTTACAAAAATATATAATTTGTGCAGATTGCGCTCCATAGCATCTACATTTCTAATCCGATTTTCATTATCTTTGGCTCAAAGTTTACTGTTATGATATATCTTCTTTATCGAATTTTTTAAATAATGAAAAAAATAATCAAATGAAACTGCGTATTTGATTGAAAATCTCACTTTTTTCGCCTGTAGCACTAATAATTTTCATCGAAGTCGCCACAAGTTATATATTTTGGTAAGAGGCACATCAATACCCTTCGAGCTGTAAGTCGCTTAGGTTAATTTGGAGATTTTTTCATGAGATATTGAAGAAAAGCTACGAAAAGTACCAAAAAACACTTTTTTGAAAAAATCCATTGATTTTAAAATAACGAATAAAATGCGGGACAAATGCAGGACACTTGGAAAAAATCAGTACATTTTCAGGTTTTTCAGGTTTGAAAAACTACGCAGGACCGACCTTTGAAAAACAGTACGGTCCTGCAAAAAACAGAACGGATGGTCACCGTAAGTATCGGTCATATCTATAGCACCCCATTTCCAAGTGATATTGTGTGCCCCTTATGTTTATTTATTTATTTTCAAGAATTTTCAATTAAAATTTAGTTTATTCTCAGACAAACCCCATATATACCCAAGTTCAACATTTTGTAGAAAACTACAAAAAAGTGTAACAAATTTTCACCCAAATTTGCAACTTTTTTCCCGGAAGTGTTAGAGTTTTTTTGAGTAGACGGTTTTTTAGCCCCTGCAATTTTAGTCTGATAATGTGCAAATTTCAAG